GTTTTGTTTGAAAGTTTGCCTGAAGGTTTTGTGACAGTATAAGAGATTTTAAGAGATATTATGCTTGCTAAAGTGAATTTTTATTAAAGTGACACTTAAGGTTCAAAAAGTTTCTCTTGATTTAATGTACATTAGGAGCACTGTGCTGAGCAAAATTTTGTCAATGACATTGGCATGAAAACCAATTTCTTTGACATTGGCAAGAAAATTAATTTCAGAAGTCGCAGTGACATTTTATAAGTGGACTAAGTGGAGTCTCAGGACAATTTTCTCTTGCCTTATTTGAAGATGTGTGTTTATGTCCTAAAATTGATAAATATTATTTCCTAGAATCGTAAAGAGAGAAGCCAGAGAAAGTTTCTTTTGGAAGGTTGCCTTGAGGTTTTATGAGATTATAAGAGATTTTTAAGAGAAGAGCCTTTTTGAAGTTTCAATAGAGAAATTAGCAAGTTACGTTTTCCAAAACTTGGTTTACTTCTTGAGCTACATGTATGTGCCAAGCAATTTTTCTTAGTTACTTTCAGAAAAATTGATCTCACAAGTTGCACTGGTATTTTATAAGGGGGACCAAGTTGGATCCCATGAGAATTTTTACCTCACATTAATTAAAGGTGTTTCTGTCCTATAGTTCATTATTCTACAGTCATTTGCAAAAGTCTAGGACCACCCATAGAAAAATGCATTAACCTGAAGGAAAACCAAACTGAAACCAATCAATCATGGCAACTTATGTATTTTCAATGTGTAACCTTGGTTGGACATTTTTGACTACATTTCCATGATTTGACATGTTAACAGTCTAATATTCAGTGTGCCCTCCCTTATTTCGGATTACTGAGACTGGCTCTTTTTACCCATGCTGCCTTGCAGACAAAATGTCATACAAGACCTGCCTTGGCAAAAAAATTTCATTCAAATGGGTATACAGCACTACACTGTTATGCACCGCTGTAAAATCATGTTAAGTAATCAGTCAATGAGACAATGTAATGCAGGCCCAGTGACAGAAACACCAATAAAATCCATGTGGTCTTAAACTTTTGCAAATGACTGTAATCATGTATATTTCTAAAGGGAGAAAAAAATCAGAAATGATTTTGTGTCAGTATTTGCCTTGATGCTTTGTGAAATTTTAAGAATTTTTAAGCCAAGAAGGGCCCATTTGGAAAGTAACTTCTTGTGAACATAGGTGTAGAGCCAAATTTCTTGTAATCCTTGTTACTCGAAAACCTTTTTCCAAGTAAAGTTAAGAACAGTGTTCCGAGCAAAATTTCCTCAATGCCAGTGGCAGGAAAAGTGGGGCACATGTCGCACTGAGGTTTAATTCGGCCAAGTTCAGCCTCATGAGAAATGTAATTTTTTTGTAATATACATAATGATGAAGCTGATCTCCTGTAATCCTTGTAGAAAATTCATTTTGAGTGAAATCAGAGTTAAGTTTTCTGAGACTCTCCCATGAGTTAGGCCAAAATGAGTGTTTTGAGCAGTGTAATAATCTGCCAAGTTTATTGAAAATAATGTCTCAATCCCCGTCTGAGAGTATGGTTTCAAACGAATTCATATTGGTGTCCTGTGTAGAACCTTACATTTAGGCCAACTTGAGGTGTAGGAGAAATGAACTTTTTTGTTGAGTCGATTCTGTAGACACAGAAGATTCTTACAGTAGCCTGATTTGTAATTTTGCTCAGAATTTCTTTGCGCCTTAATAGCACGACTTTCTGGATTGAAACATTTAATGCAAATAAAGTTGTATATGCAAAACACTCACGTTATCTTGTAACATCCGATTTCTCTTTTTTTTCAACATTTAAATTCAAAGTTGAATATGCATTTTATACTTGGTATAGTATTATACATAGACCCTGCAGTACAAAAAGTGACGTCAAGAACACTAAAAGAATGGCTTTATCTTTACCGTAAAAACAAGTCTTTAACAATGTGTGAAAAACTGTTCAAAATACGGTTTGCGCTCTTAAGAGCAAACCCATTTTGTGAAAGGTCACGACCCACTTGTGCAGACGATATCCAGGTGTCTCTTCTGCAGCGCGCGGCCAGATAAGCCAATCCATTTCGCAGAAGGTCGCGAACCCGGCGGCACAGTGGAATAGCCCGGAAGATGGCCAGGGTCGTCTCTGGCCTTCGGCCAAAGAAATTGATACATTCGTGGGAATTGGCGCGCACAGCGGCCACACAGAAAGGCATGTTTACCGCGCTCAGCCATTTTCGGCTTGATTTTTGCTCGGCACGGACAAGATCCCACCACCCACCCCAATCACCTAACGGGTTGTCTGTTATATGCAAGCAGGAAATTTGTATTGTTTCTCACCGGGTAATCCGGGGGTGGGATTTATTGTAAGGCTGCATGGCGATGCAGCCAGGATGGTTTAAGCTCAGAGAGGAGAGGGGGGCATTGGCCATCTGGTTGGGTTTGGGGGTGGGTCGGCCCCACGGACGAGGGAATATCGCCGGGGGGCTGGCACAGGCCCGCTACTCGGGCTTATCAGAACCCTCCTCCATGGGCCCTTGTTTTAATGCAGACTTGCATTTTGTTGGAAGTAAAGTTAAAAGGTCAAAAGTTCATTTTCTGCTGTCTTGAACCTTGCTTGGGCAAGGCATTGTTAAACCTGTATGCATATTATGAAAAGGATTCAATTCCACGTTCAAAGGCCGCTCTGTGTTTTAACCCTTGTATTTGTTGAAAGTATNACTGAGGTTTAATTCGGCCAAGTTCAGCCTCATGAAAAATGTAATTTTTTTGTAATATACATAATGATGAAGCTGATCTCCTGTAATCCTTGTAGAAAATTCATTTTGAGTGAAATCAGAGTTAAGTTTTCTGAGACTCTCCCATGAGTTAGGCCAAAATGAGTGTTTTGAGCAGTGTAATAATCTGCCAAGTTTATTGAAAATAATGTCTCAGTCCCCCTGTGAGAGTATGGTTTCAAATGAATTCATATTGGTGTCCTGTGTAGAACCTTACATTTAGGCCAACTTGAGGTGTAGGAGAAATGAACTTTTTTGTTGAGTCGATTCTGTAGACACAGAAGATTCTTACAGTAGCCTGATTTGTAATTTTGCTCAGATTTCTTTGTGCCTTAATAGCACGACTTTCTGGATTGAAACATCTAATGCAAATAAAGTTGTTGCAAAACACTAACCGTTATCTTGTAACATCCGATTTCTCTTTTTTTTCAACATTTAAATTCAAAGTTGAATATGCATTTTATACTTGGTATAGTATTATACATAGACCCTGCAGTACAAAAAGTGACGTCAAGAACACTAAAAGAATGGCTTTATCTTTACCGTAAAAACAAGTCTTTAACAATGTGTGAAAAACTGTTCAAAATATTCTAATTTCACTAGAAAAGGGTAAACTTAGAATTATACATGCACAGAATGGTTAGGTTGAATGGTTTTTCAGTCAATTGTACTT